AGAAAACCCCGCTATTGATTGTTGTAAGAATGAGTGAGTAAGCCTCGACAAACACTGTTGTATACTAGTTGTTTACTCCAATTTGGCTCAACCGAGATGCTGGGTGGGGGGTTCTATCATGTCAAAGGGTGCGGTGTCCTGACCCTCTGCAATGTACTAATCGTTTGATCAAGGAAACCCTGCTACGTACCAACAGCCTACTCGGGAATCTCGGTGGTCTACCAAACTCTCTACCTATGGATTTCTACGGCGTACAGTAGAGCACAACCGACATGTGGCCGTGGTAGCCGTCGGGCTCGCCCATGGATGCGGAAGTGGGAAAGTTGTCGCGGACTTCTCAATCGTGCGTCGAGCCTCTTATGATCAGGTTATGAGACAAAAGTTTAAAAGGGGAAAAAAAAGAAATGGTAAAGGAGAGGAAAATGAAAAGAAAAGAGGGGGAATTAAGGGGAAAACGCCACACTTCGAATCTGCATCTGAACCTGGACCTTTAGTGTGGAAAATGCAAATTTGTCAGTCCTTAATGGTTGCAGTGTTTCGTTTCCCCTTTTCCTTTTGCTAATTTTCGTTTTTCTTCTTATTTAATCTTTCTGAAGTCTCTATTCCCCCCCCCGAGTAATTTCGCAGGGGAACGAACGGTTTAGTTTCGAATTCCAAATTAAGTATGGGCGTCTTAGACTGCCCGTCCCTCACACTTCAACCACCGCAAGCTTGACTAGTGCGGTGCAATCAGTACGGGGCCCCAAAAATAGGAGCACCCGCGCCCTATAGGAGACTCATGACCCTACAGAAGGTCATAAGCCCCCTCCTTGTCATCGGACACGGGTACCCATTAGAGGTAGTCTCGTGGCATGTTTTAAAGTGAGGGAGGCACCTGTAAGGATCCCGTTATAGAACTGCAGTCCACAGTGCGCCTGGCTAGTAGTCATCTCACGTTGTGGGACATAATCCTTGAGACAACACTTGATTTCAATTTATTCCTTTATTAAGATTTCTTGATACTCAAATAATAATGAGCAAAACTTAGAAGACCACTTGTGTATCCCGTTTAATACTTAGGGACTGCGACTCATATTAAACCTATAAAAACAATAGATATTGCATTACTCACTACTGGCTAGTGGGTGTGCATTGGGAACTTCAGCGCTAATATTGGTAATCTGAGAGGCAGGGTTCTATTTATGTGGATGTGTGCTTGGTGTAAAACTCCGGTTGTTATGAGAGTGAGCTGCTATGACCCGCAGTAACGGGCTGCATGGCTATAGCCCATATTGTTGGAGGTTTATCACTCGTTGATCCCCTATGTCCAGGAAGGGCTCCTGGATCACTACGATCCTAAACTGTGGTGGGGGAAATGAGCCCAAGCTAAAGATTAACGTGGAAGGGGCGAGAGAAGAGTAGATACGAGGCAATTCGAAGTTACAAGAGACAGTAACAGAGGCCAAAAACCGAGCTAGAAAACGGTGTCCAACGCATCAGTCTCTCACAGGGCGAGATTCTCCCGCCCGCATCACGCTGGAGTTGGTTTACTCGTGATACACATGGAGCTTCCGCAACCGCTCCATCCGAGTGCATCAACCATACCTCTCGCGAGCCCCTACGATAGAATAGAGCATACGCGAGGTACAACTTACCTCCACCTTGTGGGAGTTGTCACCTCCCTTCAGTGGGTGTATCCCCACCGAGCTATCAACCCACAATTCGAGAGCTAATCAATTGCAATTGCAGAGGTGGGGCTAGCTGATGGCGTTTCTCATACGTTGTAGCATGAGGGGTACGCGTGGTCCCACGCCTCTATCGGACCCGCACGGGAACCGAAGAACTGGGGGGGCAGAAGTCCCAATCACAACTCGTCGTGGGTCGACTAGGACGCATCTCACTCACCACGCGTTACACCACACTTTAAAAACACACTCGAACAACACAACAACACTCTTAGTCCCTTTAGCAACCAACTCATAACCTTTTGATATGGAAATCGGTTAGGTGTCGCTCGCGAGACTTATAATAAAAATCACGCGGACGCAGGGCTTTCTGATATCGACTCGTAATGCAAGCTTACGCAAGCAGTCGCGATGATTGTGTATATGTAGTATTCATAATCATGCCGCCCCCGTCAATCCTGAGGGTCGCATTCGACAGTCAAGTGTCGGGTAACACGCGCCTTGGGGGGTTAATCTCTCAACGTCAGACACCCGCCAAGTGTGGCTGAAAACCACGCCCTCTTCTTCATCTTGCGGAGAGTGGGTGGTACACAGGTTTATACCTGTGGTGGCAATCGTCTCTTATTTCTCTGGAGACCAGCCCCATCATCCATGGACTGGAGAGAACTCAAGGGGCTTGACTTTGACAGTTGTCACGGACTACAACGTTCAACTATAAAGAATCTAAGAAACAAAGGATAAAAGGGGGATTTCCCTTTTCTCTCAAAGAATAATATGTTTCGCACGGTCACAATGGGCCGTGCGAAATACTCAAGGCATATCTAGGTACATATATAAAAGGGGTATACAATATGGGACAATCACTTCTCACAATCACAGTGGGACTCCTCTCAGTCATATATATGTGTGTGATCGCAGAAAGTCAAATCCAGAGTCCGAACCATAAAACATACTTGTAATCACATCAAAGATTCAATCAAAGTCCACGCACTATATGAGGTCAACTTCAACCATTCTCTACGCTCACACCCCTTCCCTTTAGCCATACAAGCCTCAACCTTAGTGCACCATTCCAACGATGAAGTACTCAGTATCTTTGTTAAATGACCATTCAATAAAGTTTGGGTAAGAACACAACAAAACAATTCAAACCACAGGGTTAAAGTCCTGAGGTTGAGTGACAGAAGAGGATCGGAGCCGAGTCGTAAACCGACGAATCGACAACCGACCTGTTATCAATGATAAGAGAAGATGATCCTTGTGGGATCAAACTAGTCTCAATCTTGAATCAAAACGATCAAGAGGACTTGTAACACTAGAAAGGTCCATTCTCATGCCAAACTTATTAGTATATGGGGAATGAATCTCCATAACACATTCTTACTCAAGTTTCTCTTGCTGACTGAGTCTAAGCCTACCTTTAAGCCTATGCCCAAAAAAAGGTAGAGATTTGACAACTTTTCCCCTATGCAGGGTGGATTGTCAAAATCACCACCTGTCAAAATATAATATAACTCCTTTAAACTAAGAAAATTTTGGCAGTGTTTCCCGTAGGAAAAATGTCTTTTCATAATTTATATTAGCTCGAATATGAAAACTAAAATAATATGTAACTTTAGAAAGTCAAATTTTATCTAATTCCCTAAATTAGTAAAAAATTGGGCATCATCTCCTTTACAGAGGTAGACTTCTCATATTTATATTGACTAAGCTATGAACTCAAGATATGAAATCAAACTTGAGACTTGAGTTTTATCGCGATAAAATTTAACTAATTTTTCAGATTTCTAAAAGTTTCGACAACACTTCCTTTAGAAAAATGTTATTTCAAAATTTATACAAAACTACGTTTAAAATCTCGCATAACTCAGACTTTCCAAAGTTAAATTTTGTCGAACTCCCTGAATTAATTAAAATCCGGACAGCACTTCCCTTATAAAATAATGATTTCCAGATTCTTACTAAGCCAGATATAAGACTTGAACAAAATTTTTTGAAGTCACATTTGACTAACTCCTTAATTTTGTAGAAATTTCGGCAGCGCTTCACGTAGGAGAAGTAGCTTACCAAGATTTACTCGAAGTTAAGTATAACAAATGATCCCAGACCAATGCAAAAATTGACTCAAGTACAAAAAATTAAACTTAGAAAATACAGAAATTTAACTAACTTTTATATCCCTAGCACGTGGCGAGCCTCTAAAACAACTACTTATCAAACTGAAACTCTTACTAAGTAGTGATCTCACTCAGCCACATGCTAGACCAAACCAAAATGATAAGTACTCTCATCAACCCCAAAGTCAACCTTGTTAAATAATAGTTCATAGTTTTCAAATGATTTGCCCATTAGACCCAGCTTACATAAGGCATAAAGCTTAACCATCAAAACTTATGGAAACTTGTCTAGCTCAGTCATTGTATATACACAGATAAAGGGTACTAAAACTCTTCTCTTCCTTGGGCATATGACTAGGTTGTCCAACCTAGTCGCCCTGAACTGTTTAAGATTTTCAAATTATATATAATTATCTGCACTTAATATTTTAAGGCAGTATATGACTGAACCGTTCAACTTAAATCAAAGTCCAACCTGCCCCTTCTTACCACAAGTTTACTCTTAATTGCTACTTTCTTCAATTTATGATAAGCTATAGTTAGACCATTTGAGGTCATGGAAACATGTGCAACTAACCTGTTCATCAATAAAATAATATGTGAGGATTGAACCCTCAAGTAGGGGCCTTGCCATGATGTACATGTTCTGGCCTAAGGCCCCACCAAGCCTCGTGCCCGCCCTAAGTGAAGGAGGGCCAGGAAATCAACAAGAGCCCTATGTGCCAACATTTCACGAAGTGGGGTCCATACAGTTGCAGCACGCCAGTTGGTTGGAATGCACCGAGTCTCGGATTTCAGCAAATGCTGAAAGCCTAGGGCCTCTGAGTTAGTTAGGCCCTGGGCACTCGAACCATAGGCCGACAATGCATGCTGGGTATAGAGGCCGAAAATGCCAAAGGGAAATCGGCCCAGTATCTGAATCTGGCCGCAGGCCTCGATGAGGGAGGCGCAACTGCATTGCCCCGAGACCCAACTGTATAGGGCTGGTTTCAGCCTCTGGGGCCCAGTCGCAGACGCACCCGCTTCGAGCCGACAGATTGTTAGGGCGAGGGACCACTTGAGGTGCCACTCCAATAGTAGTGGGAGGTCCTAAAGGTTGCGGCGCCCTAGCCTGACTCGCCTCGGGACGAGTTCCCGCGTTCCTAGGTTGCCAGTGGGGAGGGTCTCCCCATCTTCTATCCCTTGCATCCTTCCAATGGGAATTTTCTCATTTCGAGACCGGATTCCCTCCAGCTTCTCGGTCACTCCTCCAGTTCCCTTGGTTACTAGGTTCGTTCTGCCAACCCGGGGGTCCTCCTTCCCAGCGAGGGCCGGGAGGCGCCGGAGGATGCCTCTCGTTCCCGCGAGGATTGTCATTCCTCTGAGTACGTATACTCCGGAGCGCCATGTCCGAACTCTCCTTCATGTACTCCCGCACATCTACTCCCCCTCCCGTGAAGACCACCTCGGCGACTCTATCGAAATTCGCAGAGTCTCTCGGGGCCCTTTCAAGAACCTCCTTTCTCTTCGCTTTAGGCGGGTGCAACATGAACCTCACGCACCTGTCAACCTCGGAGAGCATCCCTCTATCCACCAAAGCCTGCGACAAACGTTTGAATCTTCGAGTAAAAGCCACTAGGCTTTCTTGCTCCCCTCTCGTGACCCGACGCAACCCTTCTATCGTGGGGATCAGATCGTCACACGCGAAGATCCTCAATAAGTTGCCTTTGAAGGTCTTCCATCTCTCATCTGCCGGGTATATGGCCCTAATGGCCTGGTCCAGTTTCAGGGCAATGTTGTATAAAGTGGTCGATCCACTCTTTCTCCGAGAACTTCTTCCGGCAGGCGTAGCTTTCCCATTTCTCTACAAACCCGGTTACACCCCTTCCGCTGAAGTAGAGGAATTTCAGCCCCAGATTCACATCGTAGTAGGGGACCCTTCGGTCATCATATCGACGGAAGTAAGGACCTTCTGCCGGCCCGTTTATCGCCGGATCGTAAGGTCTGTACCGACCCAGATCTAAATCTTCAACCTGAGGCCGAGCCCTCAGAGGTCCCCAAGGATCCTCCTCACGGCGGCTCCTATCTCCCGGGTCCTCGCGTTCCCAACACGTGGTTTCATGGCCCCGAACCCCCCTCCATACATCTCCGTATCCTCCCACGTTCCTTCCTACAGCTTCCTTCTGCACCCACCCTGATCCGGTTTCTCTCTCGGTCCATCTTCGCGATCCTCCTCCAGGTTCTGTTGGTCAATCGTCCTCGAGTTCCCTCCTCCTTAGACTACCTTTTTCCCCCCTCCTTGGCGCCCAACACCCGGCCCTATCACGAGGGAACTCTTGCCCCTCTTCGACTCTTTCTTCAACGTCCACTCGACCTTACCATCGGGTTTCGATCGAAAAACCCCTCGTGGCCTCCGCCACCTTTTCCCTTGCCGGTATTCGCGGCTCCACTTCCCGGTGCAATCGCTCTTCGGGATTTTTCTTAGCTCCGTATTTCTCTCTCCGAGGGGCGTCTCTGTGTTTTTTAAGGCCCTACCTATAGCCTCCGTTCCCTCGGCCACTCCTTCGGCCGTCTTGCTCAATCTCGCCCCCAACTCCGTATCCTCCTCAGTTCGCCCCATGATGGTGGTCTTAGGTGATCGGGCGATCTCGTGCTCAACCACACTTTCCATGCACAAACTTCTAGTTGCTTCCCTCACCAGAATCACCCCCTTGCCCTTATGTCTCGTCACTCTCTTCCGAGCTCCTCCCTTCCTCACTTGATTCTCGTTCCTCACTATCGCTCTCCGACTCTTTGCTAGTCACAGTCCGCACTCTTTTTTCCTCGCAAGCAGCTAGTGCTAGGTTGGCAATCTCTAGATCAGAAATGCCTTTAATCCCTCCCTACGAGCACCGTCTAATCAGGCCCCTATCTACTTCTCCGGCCTGTCCCGAGAACAGGGGCTTGATGAAGTCGCCGACTAAAGCCCATCACTCGAAGTCTGTAAGCTCTAGAGATTCCCAGCACAGGGTGAACAGTTTGTGCCCCTTTCTTTCCCCTAGGGGGAACTTTTCAATTATTTGCCCTCTCATTGGGACCTTCCTCACCACGGCGTAGTCGGGATAGAGCAAACGGTAGGCCCAAGCAGGAACTTCCCAGGTCCGGCCGTAGGCTGCTCGCGGGACTTCTCCCCTCCCTCGATACTTAACCTTGTCTATTACACGCCCTTCCGCTACTCCCCCTCTCAGTTTCTCAAGTCGGTCCTGAGCTTTTCCCGCGATACCTAGTGGGTCCTTTCGTCTCGCTAACTCGGTAGAAAAGAACTGCCTATCATCGTGAGACAAGAAGATTTCGGCCCTTCGTGTGCGGGTGTCTTCCATTGAGACTACTGAAAACCGGACTGGCGTTTCCTGCCCGTAGATCTTGAAGAACTCCGTAATAATTTTCCCTTCCTCCTCTACCTTTTGGAGCGTCACTCCATACCTAGAACTGGACTTCCAAGCCCTTTCGAAGGTCCCGATGGGGCTCCCCCTGTCGTATCTAATCATTGACAGGTTTACCTTACCCGAGCCAATCTTTTTGCGGCCTCGACTAGCGAGTCTTGACACCTCTCTCGAAAGCCCTTGCCTCGATCGAGTATCATCCGATGTAAAGCTTTCTCGTACTCTTCCGGCCTATCCCATAAACGCGCCTCAACTAGGTGTACCCTGGCTTCGAAAGGATTTCCAAACCACCCAGAGTCCTCCTCAAACCTTCTCTCGACCTATGTCAGAGGTTCCCTCCATGTTCTAGAGAATAACACTCTCCTCGCCTCTATAATAGAGACCGAAAACCTTACTAATGTAGTCCATGACCTTCTTTTCCACAAAGTCAAGCTCCAGACTTCGACGAGGAACTCCTTTTTGGCTCGCGCTACTCGGTCTTCTCCAAGACCCGGACTTAGCTCCGCTCCTCCCCCTATTTCGACATCAGGCCTGTTGTCGCGCGTCTCCAACTCCCAAGTTATCGAGTTAGAGGCATAGGTAGCTCTTATGCCGATCCTCCCCCCCGAAGCAGCTCGTCCTTTAGCTGGTCTAAGATCCTAACCGTGGCCGCCTCAAGCAACTTGATCTTCCACAAAGACCCCCGCCTCGCTCTTCTCTCCTCCTCCCAGCAAAGGGTCAGGATTCTATACACCTCTGACCGTACCCTCTCTAGCCCTAACAGCTCTCTGGTCTCCGGTTCACTCATGCCTCAAGTTCCTTCGCCGGCACGCGATCGCGATCCGTATGAGATCCGAGGGGTCTAACCTTTCCAACCCCGCTTCACAGATCTCTCCCAGGTACCGCCACGAGATGGTCGACACCCTTATGTGTTGGCCCCAACCCTCGAAGGTGTAGCTCAGTGCTTCTAGAGACGACCAATTGTCTTGGTATGGATTTCGAAGACACCACGACAACAGAGCGTGCAGATCCGACTTCGTAAACCGAAATTGGTTCAAGATCGAGATCCTACGTTCCACCGCCCTTTTGACCTCTTCGGAGGGGTAGACCCGTTCAAGAATGAAGCGGGGGACTCTTATGGGATCATTGTCGACAAATAGTGGTACTTCTCCCCACCCTGCGTACGTCACCCGATGTACCCTTCGATCCCTCTCTCGAGGACCCACCTCCTCCACTAGTCTCTCCAGACGGCCTCGTATTGCTCGTGCGTCTAAGAGTGGGTCCTTCCCTAACTTCGAATTCCAGACTGCCTCTAAGAGGCCCTCTTTTGAAAGAAATATCTTGGCATCCCCGACTACCAACCCCTCTTCGCTACTCACCAACAGCCACACGAACGCCCTCCCTCGGCGGATCTCGGCTTCTTCCCTTCGAATAACTCTCACCTGACTCTTTTGACTCTCCTTGGGTAATGTGACGAGGACAAACTCCCCTTCCTCTCTTACAGGCTCGATCAAGGCCCAAAGAGTTCTGGGAATTCCCCTTATCATCACCTCGTCTGAGCCTCGTACCCTCTCCGATTAGCCACTTGCTCCTCCCCAAAGAGGCGGGCATACGGGACGTCAACGACGTGAGCTCGGACCCCCTCAAATTCTCTCAACCTTTCAAATATAGGCGCTAACTCTCTCCTAAGGGGTACCCCAGCGTCAGTACACTGTGTGTAGAGCCAAAATAGCCCTCGCGTCCGCACCCCAGACTCTCGAGCAGCCCGGAGTATTGCTACCACTCTCCCCTCCGGGTCCCGCAGGAGCGACCGTGCCAGGAATGGGGGCAAGTCTGCGTCGAGTACCTCGGAAGCTCGAGGGACCTCGCCCGGCTCGGCAAAGGACACCCGCGTCCACGACTCGAAGGTCCCTTCCTCGTAACCACTTAGTACCAGATCGTTTGCGACCTTCCTTGCGGACTCGCAATATTCCGTATGGGTCTCTAGGCCAGTGACTAAACCCCTCCAAATCTCGGTCCACGTGTCCTCGTCGAGGAAGACCGTAGCCTGAATCTCGAGGAAGCGACCGAGGTGAGGCTGACCCCCTTGCACCCCTTCTTTCCAGGTAAGCTTGTGAGTTCGAACCCACACGTAGTCACCTTCCTTGATGACCCCTCCTTTCTCAACACTCATCCAGTAGGGGGTTATGTGAGAGTCCCCTGGGATCAAGACCTTGCCTCCGTCACCAGCGTCTATTGTTTCCACCACTCTGTTTTCGTTGAGCGCAAATCTTACCATCTACAAATATTGTTTTGAAGACCCGCTCGTGGTACTTTTCGGGCGAGAGGGCGACCGACTTCTCGAGGGATCCCAGCCTCCTAAAAATACCCCAAAGCTTTCCTCGTGGAGGAATTCCCCGGTCGATACAGTAAGTGTATAGTACCCACAGGGCTCTAAATGGCAGGCCTAATCCTCGACCTCGCTCCAAGAGCTTGACTATTTTTTCCTCGTTCGTGCTTAAGAATACATAACCCGGGGTCCTTGCGATCACCGGATAACTCGACCTTGGGAGTTCGTCTGCTCGAGCGAACCTTTCTTCCTCTATCGCTACGAAGCTAAAACCCCTCCGGGCCCTAACTATCCACCTTTCCCTCACTCCCCTCGCTTCTCTGATTAACAGGTCCAGCCCACCCCCTTGGCCCAAGACCAGGGGTACTACAACCTTTGACCAAGCCTCCATCGCGACGAAGATTATCGCGGTGACTTTGAGATGCACTCCAGTCGTTCTCGCTCTCACTTCCTCAGAATCTATCCACACGAAATCTCCACCGTGATCTCTCCACCTTCCAGCCTCCTCCAATCGGGGATTTTCTCTTTGCTCGGAACCAAGCTATACACTCCTCGCTTGTCTAAGGGGGACTCGACAAACCTACCGACGTCGTTGTCAAATAGGACCATTCATGCTAACCTACCTTTGGGCGGACTCCAAATACCCTTTGGTAACGGTAGTCTCTCCCGCCCTCAAGGTCTCGCTCCGATTCCAGGGAGATCCTTTCCCGGATTCGATTGGCCCTAACTCCGTATGGCACTGGGTTGTCAACACAATAGGAGTAGAACTAATGAAGCGAGCGAAAGGAAAGCCCCCTCCTTCTCTCCCGCCTTATAGACCTCACGACCTTTTCGTACTCGGCCCCTTCTCCACACACCCTCTTGAAAGGTAAGATGGGAATATAGCCTGGATGCAACTTGAAGCACGAGGGTATTCCTTCTCCCGAGCACAA